CCCTCTGGATCACTCTCATGGCTTCCCTATGCCCACCGAGGACACTTGGTGAAGCTGGGAGATCCGTGTGCTTTGCTGTCTCCGGCCCCCCTCCCATTTCCCTTTCACAGGCGGGAGCTCAGCCCGTTTCCTAGAGCACAGATCAAACAAGAGGCTGGTCAGAGCTCAAGGCCTGTGTCTCTGGCCTCTGCCGTGGCCCTGGCCTAGTGCTGGGCCGGGGCAGGTCAGAAAAGACGCCCTTCCCCAGTCACACATGCACACTGGCCACCAGTGCTGGCAGACAAAATGACCTGTGCAACAGCTGGCCAGGTGCTGCTACAGCCAGCAGAGCCCACTCTCCTGTGGGGCGGAGTGCAGCAGGGCAGCTGGGTCTGACCTGGGTCCTGTAAGATAAGTGGGAGGGGAGGCTAAGAAGTGCCTTGCCCCAGTTCTGAGACCAGGCCTAGAGCCGGGTGCAACGCGCATGCTCTTGGACCCTGGGGCATTTGCATTTGGCTGCCTTATGGAGAATTCGCAGGGTCCAGGGGTGGGCCTGGGCAGGGGGCTTGCGCTCTGCTCCCGCTCCTCCTGGACAGCCTATGGGAAGGGAACATGCAGTTCCGCCCGGCCTGTGGCTTGGGCCAGAGGCGTGTGGGACGCTGTGTTCCCTGATAAGATGAGGCAATCGCTGTCGGCCCAGGCCACTTGCTTGCTGGGCTAGGCAGCCTCTTCGCCACGGCGCCAGGAAACATTTATGTAATCCTGCCTGGGTGCCACGTGCTCGCGGCTCCGCCCCACCGCGCGCCCCGGCCTGCTCTTGGACCCCTCCCCTTGCCCACCCCACTCCCTGGCCGCTCTGCACTCCCGGCACCCCTCCCCACCCCGCTCCAGTGACACTGCTCTGCACTGACCCGTCCCCACCTTGGCCCGGCACCAACCCCAGCCCCCCACCCTCCACCCTGCATCTCACCTGGCCTGACCTCAACCCGCTTCCTCTCACAAGGTCTGAGCCGCAGTGTTGTCTTAAGACCCCTGGCACCCCGCAGCGCCATGCACAGGCACGCAGTCTTCGGCTTTCTGGTTTCTGAGAGAGTCGCCTCTCAGACCTGGAGTGGCTCCGGAAGGCGGAGCTCCTTGTGTTTGGGACCTAGGTTCTCGGAGCTGCATTAATCCCTCTGTGTTGGCAGGACTATGTTCCCAGCAGGAGGCCGGGTGTGGGACAGGAGGCCTGGGACAGGGCTTGAGTGCAGCAGGGATGCGGTTTTAGTGCCAGGGGCTTGCTCCGCTCCACCCCGCATTGGAAGGTGGGGTGCTGCCTACCGTCGCGGGTGGCTCGGTCTTACTCAGCTCAGCCACGCCACCCTGAGGTCAGTTCCCAGAACAGCAGCTTCCAAAGTGAAGCTGGAGGGTTTCTCTACCTGAGACTTTGGGGGGAGGGAGAACAGTGGAAACTTAATGCACAGTGACGTTCTTTGCACTCCACTCTTTCAGAAGAGCGCGGTGGAATATTCCAGATGCTGCAGGATGTGTGATGATATCACCCCTCTGGACAGTCAGAATGTGTGCTTGGCTTCAGATTGTGTTCAGGCGTCATCCAAAAAGTAGCAGCAATTCCCCCACCACCACTGTTGGCCTCTCGGGTGCTGCTCAGATGTCTCTGAGAGGTGATCTCTGGGCCAGCCCCAGTGCCGCTCCTTGCCAGGTGGAAATCCTGACCTGTCTGTGCACCAGTTCGTTTGTCATTACTTCTACTTAAATAGGCTGACAGAAGCATCCCCTGAGCCAGGACTGTGTCCCCAGGGCCAGCCCTTGGGTACAGGCATGCTTAGCAAGCTCATGGCACTGCTGGTGTGTGTGCTGGGTTAGGTTTGCCTGCTTCCTCCACCCCTCTGGCTGCCCGGCACCAGCACCAGCAGCCATGTGCATGGATGCTGCAGTCCTCTGGCACGACTCTTCCACTGTCTGGCCCATTTCACATGTTTCACAGGGTCACAGGCAGGACTCTGGAGAGGACAAAGCCCTGTGCCAGAACCCAAGGCCACAGGATGCGAGGCGGGTCTTACCTTGGCCCAGGAGGTGATGGTATGATAGTCTGTCAGCACTGCAGGAGTGAATGTGGGGGCCATGCTGGGCCCAGTGCCAGGGCTACTTGGTGTGGCTACACTCCGAGGCTGGGCCAGGGCAGCCCCCTCCCGTGCTGTTGTGGCATGTGACAGCATGCTGGTGGGTCCTGGAGCCCCGGCGGTCCGAATCCGATGTGTCGGCAGAGCTCACTCCCCTGGAGCCTCTGAGGGGATGCAGTGATCTGTGGCATTCCCCTTCCACATCCCGGGCGCCACCCACATTCCCCCTCTAGTTACACCTGGGAAGACCCTGATTCCGAATAAGGTCACCCTCACTGGTTTGGGACTTCCTCTGCAGGGACCGCTACCGGCCTGTCTAGAGCTACCCAGACATGGAGGACACAGGCTCGACCCTCTCTGGTTTACCTCACCTCGGTCCCCAACACCGTGAGCCCTGCCACAGTCAAAGCTTTTGCTCACCCACGTACGTCTTGAGTCTGCAAGGGCGGAGTCCCCATGTGACAGTTGTCAAACGTTTTTACCTTTCCTGGAACTAATACTGAAGTTTTCTTTTGAAAATGATTTGGGATATGTTGGGCTAGATAAAGAAGTCTATTTAAACAGTCTTTTTTCTTGCTAATAAAAAAATCAACATTTGATTTTTTAAAATGAAGAATCATAACATGGAAGAGCTTCCAACCTAGGGCACCCTTCTCCCAGACTGTGCCACTCTACAAAGCACTTCTCTCTTTGACTGTTGTTGATTATGCTGGTAGCTCTCACCCTCTGTTGCTCACACGATAATTCGTTTGGTTGTACATTGTGTAAGTGTCTTCCTGCTTTTCCCTCAACACTGCTCTGCCAGGGCTGGCTGGGGTCAGTTGCATATGTTTAGTATATAAGATTGACAACTGGAGCTAGGGATTATATGACCATGACTATGGTTTGTCTGCCTGGGCCTGTGCTAGGATTACATTTCTTTCTACCATCTCATGGGATTGTTATGAAGGATAAATAATAGGACACCACTTGCTCATTTCACCGGTAACTCATACTCATGTGGCATTTCAGTCTACTCTGATTCGGACTATAATTTTCTTCTGTTTTTCCTGGAGTTTCTCATCGCTTCTTTTTTTCCCCCCCTTCAAAACGAAAAACAGTCAGGTGCCTTCCTTGCATGGTGAAGTTCAGCCAGTGTCTTTGATTGGATGCTCTGGTGCCCAGAAGTTTTGTTCCCACGGTCTCTCAGGCCTCTGCTTGACTTTTGTCCCCCAGTGCCACTTTGACACCGGTCACTCAACCCTGGCTTCCTGGTTTCCTTTTGCTGTTACTGGAATCTGTAAGTCATGAACTTGGAAGGCCTTGGTCCGCACACATGTGACCTGGAGTTTCCCTCTTTTCCTCTCTGCCAAGTTTTGGGTGCTCTTGTTTTTTCCTTGGAGTGCTGGCATCTCAGAATCTCTGGGAACAAGGGCCTTTCATCACTCATCTGCCCACCTCCACTCCAAGCCTTCCCAGGCAAGCCTCCTGTCTTCCTGTTCATTCTGTGGTGACCTCTCTTCTGGTTTCCTCCGTAGATGCTCCAGTTGGAGAGGTGTTAAGTTCCTCGGACTGGCTCTCTCTGTCTGTAATTGTCACACAGTTTTGGAACATGGTGGCTGCATGGTTTCAAGTCCCTTCCCCAAACGTGGAGTCTGTCAGCAGAGTGGCTGTCAGCAGGCTAAGGAGACAGAACATGTGGCATTCACATATTGGCTGCTACTGCTTTTGGTTCTGTTTTTCTGGGATGTTTTTTTCCTTGAGTGTATTCCTAGATTTTCCATGGAATTTTTGTAGGGGGGGAAGGGACAGCAAGAAGATTTTCAGTTTCCAACTGCTATGTTTTTGTTGTCTGAGCTTACTTCTTAATGGTATCCTGTTTGCTTTATGCATCAAGTTCTGCCTCTAGTCACTCTGAGGAAATGGATTCGAACTTGAGGCTGATGTGCTCTTGTGTTTCTGACGTCATCCCTTTTCCTCCGGAGTTGGTGCCTCTGCTGCTTTAGCTCTTTCCGTCCCACACCGCTGGTCTTCCTCAGCTGTTGGGCCACCCGCGATCATCTGTCTCTATTTAAAGTGGGCAGAGGGGGGCAATTCCTGCGCTGGGCATGGGTGGGTCATGCTGAAGGATGTGAGCAGAAGGGCATGGGATGGGGCAGGTGGCTGTTCCTAGTGCCAGTGGGTTATGTCTTGGGGCACTGGAGCCCTCAACTGGTTTTTGAGCAGTGGGTGTCACCATTGTGGTTCAGAGTTTGGGTAAAAAGCTGCCCTGTCCTTGCCCCGTGTAAAGAATGGCAGAGGTTGGAGGCAAGATCCCATTGTTACCCCTTCACCACCCCAGAGGGAGGAGGGATCTGTTGGAGCCCCCTTCACTACCTCTTAACTCCCCACCCCCTGCCTGCCACATTCTGTTCCTTTCCCCACCTGTCCCCGCCTCCAGCACAGGCACAGGGAACTGTGAGCCTCTGCATGGATCAGTCACCATGCAGCCCCGCCCCCCCCTTGGGGCTTCTGACCACCGCTGCCTGGCCGGGTTGGTGCTTGGCTAAGAGAGGAACAGCAGGACAGTTCCTCAGTGAAGTCAGGCCCTGGAAATGTCAGCCTGGAAAAGGGGTCAGGGCTGAGCTCTGCCAGTGCTGGAGTTTGGGGATTGTTGTTTTATCCTACCCTGCAAGGATTCCTAGGTCCTTGTGCCCAGGTACAGGACTCTTGTGGGCAGCGCCCTTTGTGGTCTACTTCCTGGGAGTCCACTGCCGGGGACCTAAATGCCCACCCCCTGGCAGCTGCCATTGCTTCAGCATTTGGTGGGAGAGGGGTTGACACAGGTGGGGCATGCGAGACCGGGAGGTGCGAGGAGTTGGAGCTTGTGAAGGGAACCAGGTGAGACCGGCTGACATTGTGTGCCCCTGTCACCTACAGGTGAACGACCCTTTGCCTGCAGCTGGCAGGACTGCAACAAGAAGTTTGCACGCTCCGACGAGTTGGCGCGGCACTACCGCACGCACACTGGCGAGAAGAAGTTCAGCTGTCCCATCTGTGAGAAGCGCTTCATGCGTAGCGACCACCTGACCAAGCACGCACGCCGCCACGCCAACTTCCACCCGGGCATGCTGCAGCGGCGTGGCGGGGGCTCGCGGACCGGCTCACTCAGCGACTACAGCCGCTCAGATGCCAGCAGCCCCACCATCAGCCCGGCCAGCTCACCATGAGGCCACCCCGCACGCCCTCCTGCCCACCCCTGTCACAAGGCCTCCGCTGTCAGGCCCGTCCTGTCCTTTTGTGATAAGAGAAGGAACGAATTTAGGAGAAAAAAAAGTCCTTGAGAAACACTTTTCTTCACCTCAGGTGTCAAAGTCAGTTTGTTTGTTTGTTTTTTAAAAAAAAAAAGAAAAAAATACAATGAAAAATGTCCAAAAATACCATTCACAAGTTGCACAACAGACGTATGTACCCATGAAGTTGAGATTCAGCGGTGTTGAACCCCTTTCTCAGGGATGGACGCGGTCCACGCACGAGGTCAGTGAGGACACCCCTTCCTGGCGCCTTACTCTGTACATAGATTTGCACTCTGGAGTTTTCTGTGAGGACAGAGCTGGCCAAGTGGCGCAGGGGTCACGGACATTTGTGCTTCTCTGACAGATTCGTAAGCAGTGAGGCCTGGCTTCCCCGCTCCCTGCCCTGCCCAGACCTGACCAGACACCCAAGGTGCAGGTGTCTCCAAAGGATGGGCCACTTCAGGGGGGATGCCTCAAGCTGTGACAGGCCAAAGGAGCACCCCTATGTGTGTTGGTTTCAGGTTGCGGGGGACTGTGCAGGGAGCCTGACTCCCTCCTCGCCTCCAGGAGCTTTGCCAGCGTCATCTTGGAAGAACTGGAATCAGACAGACCAGCCTGATCAGGCACAGCATTGTACCAGCCTGGCAGGAGACAGCAGCTGGGCTACACCTGCCCAGAGCCGCGAGCTCTGTCCTTGCAGAAGGCACCTGAGGCCACCCCACCCCACCCCCGGATACTGTACCCTGTTGTCCGGCCGGAAAATGGAGCCTGGGGCCTGTAGTCGTGGGCACAGGTGTCAGGCAGAGCCCCGGGCGTGTCCAGACCCTGAGCTCTGTGGATGATACCCGTGGGCCGGCTCGGTGTGTACACAGAAAGCTGGCAGTTGGGTAGCTGGGGGACTTCACAGACTGTCCTGCAATGGCAGACCAGAGCATTGTGACCAGGGACTCTGCCAGTACGGTGCCATGGCTGTTCCGGGAGCCGCGGGAACAGTGAGGACTCTAGGGAGCGCTTTCCTAGACCCTGCGTGTCCCAGCTTCTCCACGCCCTGCCTGGGAGGCCTAGGCTGCACCACCTGCTCCTGCTGAGGGACAAGGAGCACCCGGCCCAGACTTGTGCGGGGCTGACTTATGGCCTGCGCAGCTCCATCTCGTCATGCCCCAGTGAGCTCTCCGGGGCCCTGGGATGGCCACCCTGTCCCTGTGGCCCAGGCCTATCCTCCCCTTGTCAGGGAGCACTGGGGTGTGTGAACACAGGCCCAGGATTCTGTGTGTGTGTGTGTGTGTGTGTGTATGTGAGGGGGAGGGGGTGGGACAGACTTGGGCTATCTTGCAGAGACCTCTCCTCATTTGGGTGAGGGGTTGCCCTTGGAACCTCAAAGGACCATAGGTGGGCTTCCTGGGCCCAGAGTGCCTTGGTGGTGGCCAACTTGCTTCTACTCTGGCCCTCCCATGGCCTGGCGTGCAGGCCCCCTGCGGCTCCTGGCCACTGCTTGGGAGTGACTCCAGTGGATGGATGTCCTGTGTGCACAGCTGTGGGAGGGGAGGAAGAGCAGCGTCGTGCTGAGCACTGTCCTTGAGGTGCCGTGTGTGCCAGCTGGGGTCGGCTGATGTCCCGGATGCGTGAGGGCTCCTGAGCTGGGCCGTGGATTGTTCCTGCACTGGTGGGGGTGCTGGGGAGGGGGGAAGCCCTATGCTGGCCACGTGCCTGGCTGTCCTGATGGCTGTGTGTGGCCTGGGGGAGAGGGAGAAGGTAGCTTAGGAAGCAGGGACCTCGCCTGAGAGAGCCCTGGGTACTTGGGTTCCAGAGTGAAGCCACACTCTGAATACATTTCACGTCTCAGGAATTCACATTCCAGGTTCAGGAATTTTATTCCAAAGTCCTTTGGTGCACTCGCCACCCCGGGTTCCGAAGGCAGAGAGAGGGTGCAGGGTGTTCCAGGAGGTGGGCAGAGCACCCTGGGGCGCGGGGTGGGGGGAGGGGAGGGGAGGGGAAGCGCTCCCCATGTCACCCTGGGAGGTTTTCAAGCTCCACATCTGCCTGCATAGAAGAGGTAAAAGGACTCTAAATCCAGTCATCTTGGAATAAAAATGAGCAGGTTTGCTTTAGAGCAGGGGTGGGGGGTGGGGGGAAAGGTGGGCGTCGGCTGTTTCCAAAGAGAGCACTTAATTTAATTTTTTCCTCTAAATGACCCAGGGCTGTTCCGTCTGATAGATGGAAGGGTAACATTGCCTTAAAACAGAAATATGCAGGCGTTGTTGGCTATTTTTGGCAAATGAACGTGTCTTCATTCCCAAAGTGGTTCTCATTAGCGGGCAGGTTCTCAGCGCCCTCCTGAGAAACGGGAGGCAGGGCACCCAGGTGGACAGGAGGCATTCCCATCTGCGTCATCCAGGAGTGGAAACCCTCCCTGGGCGGGGACCAGGTGGGGACCCGCGGATCTCAGGCTCAGCCCACCGGCAAGTTCCCATCTCATCCCGAGAAGGGTGCCTTCTAGGATGCGGGATGTCTTCCCAGCCTGGGTCCATTTCAGGGTCTTTTCATTTTTGTGTGGTTTATGGCCATGCTTGCCAGTTTCGGTGGGATTAAGGAAGCCATAGGGTTTTTAGAAACAGTGGTGGAAATATAAACCTTGGTTTTTGGGACTGACTGCAGTTCCAGGAGCCATGTGAGCAGGGGTCTGGAAGTGAAGGGAGACCCCCTCCCCAAAGGCCTCAGAGTGACTTGACATAACCATGGGGCTGGCGTTCTGCTCCTGTCTCCAGCAAGAGGCGCCCTCTTTGCATCAGCCATATCGGGACTGGCCGCCAGCTCCCCAGACGCCTACTGAATCCTACAGCCATACCGACACATGCAGCTGGACATGTAGTCCTCTCCTGCCGGGTGCTATGTAGGGGTGGGCAATGCTGCCCTAGCCGAGAGCACAGGCCTGGGGAGGCAGTCTGGGGCGTCCTGCCTCAGCACCTCCCTAGGACCCTGGGGGTACAGGGTTCCTCCAGCTTCACCCTCCTGGCTCCTTCATTCTGAGGCCATGCATCGGGGCAGGTGCAGCCTCAAGGTGCAAACGTGTGCACTCTGGTGACCGCGGACCTCACCGTGGCCCACGGCCAGCTAGGCCTGGGGAAGGTGGTCCAGAGATGGACATGGGCAGAGGCCCCAGGTGAAGGGCAGCAGGACTGGGGTCTCCATTCGAGATCTTTGCCCCATTCTTTCGCCTGCCCTCAGCCCAGTATTCTTGCCAGAGCAGGTGCTAGGATGGGCTCAACAGGGTTGCAGTTGTGTGACCTGGTTCAGGGCAGGGTCCCAGCCAACAGGAAGGCTCCTGGTTGGGGCCTGAGCATTTTGACTCCTGACAGTGTGACAGTAGGTTTTTTGTGTGTTTGTGTGTGTGTTATTTTTTTTTTAACTCATTTGGAAAAAGTCCTTCATCAAAGACAGTACCCAGGGGAGAAGAGCTGGTCCCATGCCTGATCCAACTCCAAACTTCCAAGGTTGGCCCTAGACGTTCATTCCAGAGGCATTGTCCCAGCATCTGGAAGCACAGTCCAGCTGACTACTGATATATGCCTGGTCTTCCTCCTGCCCACTGACCTGTCCTCCTCAGTCAAAGGAGTGCGTTTGTCAGGAAGTGGGAATCCCCGTGTCCCACGGGAAGAGGGGCCACACTGGGTACCTGCTGACGCCCCTCCCCGACAAGATGTGGGGGTTTGCAGTGTGGGCCCTTGGCCCTGCTCGGCCTCTCCCCCTCCTTCAGCTTTAAGACTTGACTTTTATTTAAGAATAAACAGGATGAGAGAAGTAGCACTCCTTCCCCCAAACCCTCAAACGTCAGTCACACATTCCAGAGGGTGGGGAGGGCACAGGAAGGCAGGGGAGGGGCAGATGTGCAGCCTCCTCCCAGGGCTGGGAGCTCCGTCTACCTGTTCGCTCCCCAGGGACCCCTGGATGGGCTACTTGCAGAGCATTAGCAGGGCTGCTGGGAGCTGATGTCAGAGCCCTTCCCGGAATGTGTCCCCTGCCCTCCCCGTCCCAACCCCGGAGAAGCATGCTACCATGCTCACTCAGGTCGGGGGGTGTCCTCCTGGGTGAGCCAGCGGGAGACTTGCTTCCTGGCCTCACCCTGGAAAAGTCAGCCTGGTGCTGAGTGCTGCCCCCACTGCCCGGTGTGTAGGGGGTGTGTGCCAGCTCCTTACTAAGACTATGCATGCATGATCAGGTTTGGGACCCGCTGTGTGGCTCCAGGCAGACCTGGAATGGCCTCTGCGGGTGTATTGGATATAGGCGACCCCTTCCCGTCCCACACCGTGGTGGAGCTTCTCTGGAATTGTTTGCCAAAATCCCAAGGCAGAACACAAGGGTCCAAGACCATTTCCATCAAGCTCATGTTTGCTCTTCTTGTCTTTTTTTTTTTTTTTAATCCATCCCCCATCACATTTCTGAAGGCCATGGCTCATCTTTCCTGGATCACTACAGTGAAGTATTATAGTTGTACAGTTCCCAGCCTTGGCTTGCTCCAATAAAACTTTGTATGTATTTTGTATGGCATAGATTCTATATTGTAATGATGTCCTATGCAAAAAAAAAAAAATTAACAAAATTGTAAATTTTATTGTTTTAACGTGTATGCATGTTTAGTGACGTTTCCATTTTGAAATAAAAATTATGATTCAGTATTTACTGGCCAGTGCTGCTTTCCTTGAAGGACACGTCCTCACCAGGAGGGGTGGCCTTGGCTGCCCCTCCGCCTGGGGTGGGGTGGAGTGGGGGAGGGTTCTTGCAGCTGTCCCAGACAGCAGGCAGGTGGCTGTGACACTTTCCCCATAAAGGCACATAGCCTTTCCCTAAAGCTCTCCCAACACCAGGGTTCTACCCCAAACCCCGCTCCACCAAGCTGCCCTGTTCCCCAGAATCCAGCAATGTGCCTGTTGGCAGCTGAAAGCGGATCCTACAATGCACCGTGGGCACAGAGATGGGATTGGGGGATCTGGGCCAGGAAGGTGTGCGCTGGGAGCGGAGCCCAGAAATCCCGTGAGTTCAGTGGCCACCACAGCAGAGGCCATGAGAAGCACACACCAGAGACGGGGCAGTCGGTCAAAGCTGCCTCTTCCTGAAGCTGCAGAGGCACCAGCAGGCGTGTTCCGATGAGTGTGTGTTTTCCCTGCCGCGGTCTAGGGGGCGGGGCTGTGAAGTGAGCGCTCCCACGCACACTGCCGCCATAGAAACGCGCACAACGCAGGGCAACACGAGGCTTCCTGCCAAGATATTCGGAGCTTGTTCATGGCTGGCCAGGACAGGCATGGTGCGGCCCTCTGGGAGGCTCATCCTTATCTCAGGAACTGCCCCCACAGATGGATCCGCTTCCATAAATAGTTCTGTGTCGAAAGGATCCCAGATGCTTTACAAAGATTGACACAGGAAGAAAGCTGACAGTGACATCACTGTAGAGACGAGAACTGAGTTCCTGTGGGGGTGGGAGTGTCATGGAAGAGCCCCTAGGTGAGGCTGTGAGGGGGCCCAGGCAAGCAGAAGGGACTCCTCGTGTTCAGATACCAGTGTAGCGTGTTAGAAGGCTGGGCCCGAGTTCCAGCTCTGCACCTGATGGCAGCCTCCTGTGCACTGGCGGTGGGAAGCAGCAGGGGAGGCTGGTGAGGCTGGGTTCCTCCCCCCTCAGGGAACCTGCGTTAGGCCTGACAGGCAGGCATTTGGAGAGGCAGTCTGCGCATGGGAGATCTCTTTCTCTGCCAAGCATTTAAGATGATTGAATGCATATATATTTTTTTAAGTCTTTAGTGTGGGTGGTATTCACTCGGCACATTTTCCTGCCGTGATCTTGTAGACAAGGTTCAGGAAGGTGGGCACAACAAGAATGGGGGTGGTTGAGCCGCATCCGGGGCCTGACCCCCCTTCTCTGTTTTTATTAGATTAGAAAAGCACATTTGTGGCCCTCGAGGGGGGTGCTGTGCAGGCTTAGTGTCTCCCTCCAAGGCTCTGGGACGAGCCAGTCCCTCAGGTCATCTGCCTGAGTGTTTTCAATTCCTAATAACACTGCAGACTGGGTGAGTTATCAAGGAAAGAAACTGATTTGGGCTCTTGATTCAGGCTCAAGATCAAGGGACCATGCCCAGTGATACCCTTCTTGCTGGCAGAGTGCAGAGGAGGCATGCAGTCCCATGGCGAGAAATGGCACAAGTGGGTCAGTGCTGGCCTCTTTGGGCGAGTCCTGGGGCCACAGTGCTGGGAACCTCAGCTGACCCTGCTAGACTCCCATGGCCCCAGCTCTGCACTTGGCATCCCGTTACACTCTCACCCGCTTCAACCCTCACAGAGGAATCGAACCTCAATGAGAGGTTTGGAGGGGTCAGACCCTATTTCTTGGCAGCCATGTCTCAGGGCACTGGTGTGCAGTGAGCACCACACTTCTGGGGGTATAGAAGCAGACATGGAAGTGCCACTGCCAAGGAAGCCATAAAGCAAGCTGTAGTTTGGAAGGGAAGGCCATGGTGTTGTTCTCGGGAACTCCCGGGACATACTCATCCAGACCATCCGAAACTGGCTTCTTGCAGTTATGTGTTGGCTCGGTCATATGGGGTCACGCTCAACTGCAGAGGACCTTAGCTAACAGGCTGGGCTGTGTGTAACTTGTTCTGGGGGCATAGGGAGCTCCATTCCTCCCTGCCTCCCCACCCCCACAAAGCACACCTCTGCTATGCAAGAGAAAACCCACACTCCTCCCTTTCTAAGGTCTTCTAAGTGGAAAGCAGCTGAACCGGGTAAAATGCACAGCTGGCCCCGGCAGTCCTCACAGAATAAATTCCACATGGTCCAGGCTGTTACTCAAGGCCCCCTCATCCCAACATGATTGATCAGATGCATTAGCAGGGAGCTGGATCAGGAGTGTAACAGCCAGGACTTAAACCCACACCCGTATGGGATGCTGACATGGTAGGTGGCAACTTAACTTGTTATGCCACAGCACCTTCCCCTCAAGGATTATTTTAATCTGTCTAGGGATGCCCCTGTCCATTCTTTGGCATCATGGGGTTCTCTGGGAAGGCTGGTGACACCATGACAGGGGACTTTTTCCTGACTACACATTTCTGGGACCACTACACTGGGCAGTCCTGTGAGCCTGCTCCTGGCAACCAATGTGTCCCCTGCAGTGTTCCCCTTGGAAACAGGCAGGCCCAGGCCCAGTGGCTCTCAGGCCACTCTAGGGCTCTCTAAGAAGCCTTCGTGGCTGTGACGCTCCCATCCAGGCTGCCGGTCCTTGGCTGTTCCCTTCATCATTCTGGCCTCTTGGAACCCCAAGGCATGGCCAGAGCAGTGACAACTGCCACCCTCAGTTTACAAGCATGAGAGATGCCCAGGGCTGGCACTCCTGACCCCAACACCAGGGCTCATTCTTTGTATATTTTATTTCTGATTGGCACATTATAAATGCACATATGTATGGGGTTTGAAATGGTACTTCAATACATGCACACATTAGATATTGATAAAATCCATGTAAACAGCATATCCAATACCTTAAACATTGACAATTGATTTCTTTGTGGTAAGAACATTCAAAAAAATTTTTTAAGATTTATTTTTATTATTTTCTTATTGGAAAGACGGATATACAGAGAGGAGAGACAGAGAAGATCTTCCGTCCGATGATTCACTCCCCAAGTGAGCGCAACGGCCAATACTATGCCGATCCGAAGCCAGGAGCCTCTTCCGGGTCTCCCACACGGGTGCAGGGTCCCAAAGCTTTGGGCCGTCCTTGACTGCTTTCCCGGGCCACAGGCAGGGAGCTGGAAGGGAAGCGGGGCTGCCGGGATTAGAACCGGCGCCCATATGGGATCCTGGGCATGCAAGGTGAGGACCTTAACCATTTGTGCCACCGCGCCGGGCCCTCAAAATATTTTTGTAACTTAGATTTATTTATTTTAAATACAGAGTGATAAAGAGGGAGGAAGGAAGAAGAGAGAGAATCAGGAGAAAGATTTTCTATTCTCTGATTCATTCCCCAATGTCCACAACAGGTAGGGTTAGGCCAGGTCAAAACCAGGAAGTTCATTTGGACCTCCACATGGATGGCAGGAAGCCAAGTGCTTGGGCCATCAGCTGTCATTTCAGACATACTAGCAGGAAGAGGGAGAAGTGGAGTAACCAGGACCTGAACCACTCTATTATGGGATGCCCCAAGCGATGGCATAACCCTCTGGCATCACTAGAACGCACTCCTCCTGCCTGACCGTACTGTGCATCTGCTGCCCAGCCTGCCCCCGACCGACTGGGCTGGCACACAGCAAAGCACAGGTTGTCTGCATCTTGGCTCTTACGAGAAGTGCTGCAGTAAACAAAGGAGTTGTGGTGTCTCACCCTGATTCCATTCCCTTGGATATACCCCCAACAGTGGGACTGCTGGGCCGTGGGGGAGTTCGGTTTCTAGTGGTTTCATCAACCTCCACGTTGGTTTCCACAATAACTGTGAATCTCCATTCCTGCCAACAGAGTGCAAGTGTTCCCTTCTCGCCATTATCAGCTCTTATTCAGAACTTTCCTTTATGAAAGAAGGACACTGGGGTTCATTCTTCAATCTCCCACCCCCAAGGTCTTCTTATTTTCAGCTAGACAACGGTTGTGTGGAGCCCACAGGAACACAGGTGAGACTTAGCAGACATCCATGTGAGACTGTGACGGGCAGGCTTCCCTCTGCCACAGCGCCCCATCCCCCAGCAGGTGCTGAGTGATTGATGATTATATGTTGGCAAAATGCTCATTACCTGTGTGCTCTGATGAGTGGCTTGCTCTGTGGGGCCCCATCCCTGCTGTCAGCCAGGAATACACCCCCCTGAGGCCTCTCAGCAGAGTGGGGAGGGGGGCCTCCTGCCCTTGCTGGCATGCTTTGGGGGGAAAGGAGGTTTCTTACAGGGGCCCTCCCTTCACAGGGCCAGTTCCAGAAACTCAGGTCCTAATTGGAAATGTAGATGTGCACGACCATGGCATCTTTAGAGTGGGCATGGGAGGCTGGGGGAGGTACAGCCAGGGAGAGTAAGGGACAGCAGGCCAGTGCTGGAGTGAAGCAAGGGGCTGGTAAGCCACTTATCTACATATACGCCTGCTAAGGCAGCAAATCTTAAATAATAAACACACAAAATATCCAGGTGCTTTAGATAGGTCCAACGCCTGGGAAGAGGACACAAGTTCAACGTCCCCCTTAACATCCAGTATTTCCAATTTAATACATTAGGTAAAAAAGGCTGCTTGCAGAACAGCAGGCAAAAAATAATCACATTTGCTTAAAAAAAAATTGGTGCTCCATGGTTACGCAATTTTTAAAATGAGTTTTATTTATTTCATTTGCAGAGTGACAGGGAGGGAAACAGAAAGACCTTTCCATCTGCTGATGCACTTCCCAATGAACGCCATGTCTGGGACTGGTCAGACCAAGGCTAGGAGCCAGACACTCCATCCTGGTCTTGCATGTGGGTGGCAGGGGACCAAGTCCTTGCACCATCTTTTTTTTTTTTCTTTTTTTAATATTTTTTTTTATTAGAAAGATTTTCAGAGAGAAAGAAAGACAAAAAGATATTCTATCTGCTGGTTAACTCCCCAAGTGTCCACAATGGAAGGAGCTGAGCTGACCTGAAACCTGGAGTCAGGAGCTCTTCCAGGTCTCCCACCCGGATGCAGAGTCCCAAGGCTTAGGGCTGTCCTCGATTGCTTTCCCAGGGCACAAGCAGGGAGCTGGATGGGAAGTGGGGCCACTGGGACTAGACCTGGCATCCATATGGGATCCCAGCACATGCAAGTTGAGGACTTTAGCCACTAAGCTACTGCACCAGGCCCCTTGGTCTATCTTTTCCTGCCTTGCCTGGAGCATTGGCCAGATCAGAAGCTGAGCAACTTGGACTACAGTTGGCACTGATATGGAGTTTGAGTGTTTCATCAGTGAGCTTGCTCATGGAGCCATGGTGCCAGCCCTGGTAGATCCTTCAGCAGCTGAACTGACCACATGGGGAAGTCAGGATGCAGTGGCGGAGCTGGAGCATGGGGGTTTCACCTGTGCCTACAACACTGCATTAATTTAGGATGTGTTAGAACCAGGCCCTGGGAGCAGTGGTGCCATTTTGCTTTCTCTGTATTTGCTCTAGTGTGAAATGCTTGCCAGTTTTGCATGGCCCACGGTCGTGGCTCATCTAGGCAGACTGTCTGTGATGTGCAGAGTGAAGTGGAAGCAAGTGGTTGCAGCCAGACTGCTCCCTGCACTAAGCAGGGATTCTGCCGGGGAGCCTGGCACCCAGAGCATAGCCCCTGGCTTGGATACAGGCCACGCAACAAAGTCAAGTAACAACAGGATGGGTCCAGTCAGGAGTAGGGGACTGAGCGACTTGTTGGGGAGCCATTGATCTGAGATGACAGAAGGAAACTGGACTGGCACAGGAAGGGGCCACATGACCTGTCCTGGTTCCTGGAGGTGCCTGGACACAGAGGGAAGACCTGCAGCTCAGAATCTGACTCCCCGGCTGGCACTGCCCCCTGGGCTGGCACTGCCCTCTGGGCTGGCATTGCCCCCTGGGCTGGCACTGGAAACAGCTTGTTTCCTTTGTGCATGAGGGTACTTCAAAGAATTTGTGGAAAGTGGAATTAAACGATAAGCTTATTTCAGTTCAAAACAAAAGTGCAATCTGTAGATTTTTTCCCATGTAATAAGAATTTGTGTGTATGTAGAGAGAGCTTATCTCCCACCTGCTGGTTTACTCCATAAATCACCACAACAGCCTGGGCTGGGGAAGCTGAAGCCAGGAACCAGAAACTCCATCCAAAATCTCCCATGTGAGCGGCAGGTGTTCTGGACTTGGGTCATTACCTGCTGCTTTCCAGCGCATCAGCAGGGAACTGGATCGGAAGTAGAGTCAAAGCAACACTGCAGTCTGGGTGCAGGCATCCCAGTGGTGCCCGAACCTGCTGCACCACAACAGCAAGCCCAGAATCTTTCACTAACTTTTTGAAGTACTTTCACAAACAGCAAAATAGGTGTTATTATGTGGAGTGTTCCATTATGGTGTCCAAGGACTTTGGAAGTCATTGGACTCTTGGTTTTATCTATCATCTATCTATCTATCTATCCTGGGAATTTTAATCAAACACCCCAACAAAGTTGAGGAAAACCAAATAATTGCACACAAAACCAACTCATGATAAAATGTCTTTCTACCTTGCCTATCCCATGAGTTCCACCACTCCATGGGGAAACTCTTTTTTATCACTTTTGTTTTCAATATCTTGGTGGCTATTCCCTTAAGCCTCTGATTCATGCATGTCCTCCTGTCTGGGAAATTGTAAGCGTTTACCAAAGCATACTGGCTTCCTGATCACAGAGATGGATACTGTGGCTCCCGGCACTTCATCCTCCGCCTCCTGCATTTACAGCTTGAGCAGGTTTCTAACCCTTGTGCAGGCATGTTGCTCTTACACCATGTATCGTCTGCCATCCCGTTAGTCTGTGCCTTGTCTCCCCTGCGTGGAAGGTGACAGCACGCATCCATCACCCTGCTTTTCTTGACTCTGCTGCTTCCCTTTGACCATTTCCTTTTGTGGGTCCCCATGGTACCTCAGTGGGAGCCTCCAGTGCCCAGGGCTGGGCACAGCAGTGGTACTGCTACTTGCCACAGTTAAATCCTGGTCAGAGGCACGTACCCTCCCCTGTGGGCCTGGTATTCTCCCTTTACCTTCAGGACACTGCCAACCTCCTAGAGCAAACGGAGTGAGCCCATTTTCACTCCCTCATTAACCAAAGGTTGTATCACATTTTAGTTTCTTTGTGACTCCCATCTGCACTCCTTGCTCTTAACAGGATAGTAATGCACCCCAGCCCAGCCGCTACCTTAGTGTTACCTTTCAGTTCCCAACAACTTCTCTCCTGCCCATTTTTCTCCTCACTCTTTGGCCTGCCTGCAGCACTGGTACCGGTACTGGTGAGTCACTTCAAGTCGAAATTCTCCCTTGATTCATTTGAAAAGATTCATTTATTTGAAAGACAGAGTTACAGAGGGGGAGAAACAGAGAACAGTCTCCCTGCTCCACTCACCAAAAAAGGTCCCAGTGGCAGAGGCTAGGCCAGGCCAGAGCCAGGAGTCAGAAACCTCGCATCTTCCATCTGGGCACAGGGGCCCAAGCACTTGGCCCATCTTCCATTGCTTTCCCAGGGACATTAGCAGGGAGCTGGATCAGAAGTGAAGCAGCCAGGATTTGAACCCGTGTCCAAATGGGCTGCCCCGTTCTTATTTATTTTTATTTCTCCCTTTGCTGGAATATAATCCAAAATAATTTTCATAAAATGGATGCGTAGGAGATGGTTTTGTGTTGCTTCAAGTCCTTGGAGTTTGAAAACATTTTTATTCTTTTCCCTTTCTGAAAATACCTTTATTCTGCTCCACACTTAATTGGCAATTTGGCCCGGTATAGAATGCCAGGTTCAAAAGGACTTTCTGCTCGCCTGGAAGTCTGAGGCAGTGTGGTTTATAGCCTTGCAACAAGCCTTTGATTTGTCCTTGTTTGAAATCTGTCAACCAGGGGTACTCCCCGCTGGTCTGCCAAGTTTTATTCGATTTGTTTACTTGAGAGGCAAAGCGACAGCTCCCACCTCTGGCTCTTTCTGTGAATGTCCACAACACCCAGAGCTGGGTGGGCAAGGGCCCCAGTCTCCCACTCGGATAGCTGGGACCCGGCTAACCTGTGCCATTACTGCTGCCTCCCAGGATCCACATCAGTGGCAACCAGCACCTGGAGGCAGGCCTCGAACCCAGCTCCTTCCAACATGGCTCAGGAGTCTTCAGTGGTGAGCTAAATGCCAGCCCATGTTGCAACTATGTTGAGGGGCAGGCCTGCCTCCGAAGGACACTCACCTGAAGCTGCTGCGTAAAGGCATTCCTGTGATATTTTCTTGCTTCCTCCCCACCTCCCCTACTTCTCTTTTTGGGGATTCATGTTAGCTGAAGGCTGCCACACCGAACCACCTTCTGTGGCTTCCACTTCAGCATGGGCTCCCCTCCCCTCCGTCTCCTGTTCTGCACCCTGAGCTGGACTCCCATTCATCCTCTGAGATACCTTTGCTGCACGTCCCGGCTGTCAGCCTGGCATCCCTGTCTCCAGGGTCTCCAAGGGACAGCAGGGCCGTTCCCAAGGCTCCGGAAAATCCCAGGAGTTTGTCAGCTGTTGGCCCTGAGGGGGCTTTCCATGGGATTTTCGACAGGACCATAGGTTGGGTAAGCACTAGCCACCGTGGCCGCCGGGGCAGAGTCCTGGCTACAGGCCACATCCCGGGGACCGCGCGCCGCGAGGCCAAGCTCCCGCTTTGCTCCCCAAGCATCCCGACCTTGACTAGGGAGGCCCGCACCCTCGCAGGGGTCAGCCCGCACCCCTCCAAGTCCCTGGGGCAGCGGCAGCGCTGGTCCGCCCCTTCCCCCCGCCCCGGCCGCCCTTCCGTGGCCGTGCCGGGGAGCGCGCCGCTCGGCTGTCGCGTCCTGAAGACGTGGCAAATCCACTCTGAGGACCTGCCGCGCTGGGGCTTCGGGAACCGGCCCCCTGACCACCACCGGTGGGCCTGGCTCCTGGCACCGGGAAACTTCCTGGCGCTCCGAGCCCCGGGAGCTCATTGGACGGCGGCGACGCCACTCCCGGGTAGGGAAGGCAGGGGGCGGGACCTCGCCTCGGGGAGGGGTCCCACCTGGAGCCGCCCCGCCCTGCGTGCTTGTGACGGGAGCCCTGGCTTCCCCGGATGCCCCGTTCCACCGCGCGGGCGTCGTGTCCCCGGTGGGGCGTCCCAGAGGCACGGTCACTCCTTGTCCTGTGCGCCTTCCTGGGCCTCCCCCGAGAAGCGGGGAGGGCGTGACGGTGACAGCGCAAGCCTCTGCTCAAGGTATTCTGCAGCGGCCTCGACTGGGGCCAGGTAGGGGCCAGGCCAGGGTCTCGGCGGACAGCATTTTTCCCATGGCCCCTCCGCACTCTGTCCCATGCATTCCCTGGAGCCTTCCTTGAACGTCTTGTGCAGCCGACTCGTCCTGCCACACGTGGAGAAGGGCAGAGTGCAACCCAGCCGAGCCTCCCGCCGCTGTCTGTGGGCAGCGAGCGGATTACAGTGGTCTAGGCCTTAGCACTCTCAGAAAGTGAGGTCTGCCCTTTCAGGGCACGGCTCTGTCCACAATGGTGGGAGAACTTTCTAGAAGTTTGTCTCCAGAGTGCCTACTGGTGACTGTCAGTCTCCTCCTTGAGTCCCCCCAGCTGGGGTGCTCTCTGCTGTGCTCCCCGTACCCCGGTCACCATGGTGCTCTGGGGTCCTTCAGCGTGGGAGAGGAGCCGCTGTGGGAAGCAGTGGGCAGAGCGTTCCCAGCCAGGCCCCCGCTGGCTTAGCCTGAAGGTGAGGGCGATGATGACAGGGCTTCCTGCTGGAACCGTGTTCATTATCTCCCAGACACTGCTCAAAGTCCCAGGCGTGTGTGGACTCGCTTCTTTCCCACAACGTCTGCCTGGGCGGGGATGAAAAGACGGGGTCCGGACTTCAGGACACAGCGCCCACCCCCGCCCCGCCCGCTGCTGCTCCCTGCACACAGGAACTGGCAGCATCCCGCAACCTGCCTGCCCCTTGATGTTGGATCTCAGAATCCCTCCCCCTGGCCGCGCTCCCCACACATCCTGAGCAACTGAGAGCCCCCCAGACAGGGTTGTCCCGGGTGGCACATTTTGTAATGCGCACAGGTCCCTGTCCCATTTGGGCTCTGCAAGTCCCAGAGCAGACAGATTCAGTGCTGCAGTGCCCTGCTTTGTGTGTGTGTGTGCTTTAAGATTTATTTTATTTTTATTGGAAAGGCATATATATATATGTATTTAGAGAGAGAGAGAATGAGAGAGAGAGGACAGAAGGAAGATCTTCCGTCCAATGATTCACTCCCCAAGTGACCACATTGGCTGGTGCTGTGCCAATCCGAAGCCAGGAGCCAGGAGTTATTCCAGGTCTCTCACATGGGTACAGGGTCCCAAGGTTTTGGACTGTCCTCGACTGCTTTCCCAGGCCACAGACAGGGAGCTGGATGGGAAGTGGGGCTGCTGGGATTAGAACTGGTGCCCATGTAGGATTCCGGCGTGTCAATGTGAGGATTTTAGCCACTAGGCCACTGTGCTGGGCCCAGCAGTGCCCTATTAAAGGGGAAAACTCAAATAGCACAGAGACAGTTGCTGCCTATGTAAGGAAGGGGGACATGGGACCAGGGCTGCCATGAGCAGATCCAGCCGCAGGCCTGTGACACCTGCATTTCCTATGGGCGCCAGTTTGAGTCCCGGCTACTCTACTTCTGATCCACTTCCTTACTAATGGCCTGAGAAAGCAGCAGAAGATGGCCCAAGTGCTTGGGTCCCTGCTGTTCAGACGGGAGACCTGGAAGAAGCTCCTGGTTTCTGGGTTAAGTCTGGCACAACCCTGCCTCTTGTGGGCCTTTGGAGAGTGAACCAGTGGGTGGAAGATTCTGTCTCTCCTCTCTCTCGGTAACTCTGCCTTTCAAGTAAATAAAAACAAGCAAACCCTTAAAAAGGTAGAGGAAAAAATAAAACCCTTATGTGTGTGTGTATATATATTTATATGTATATATAATACATATAATATATAATATACAACAGCCATCTCCTATTTTTTTTAAGATTTTTTTTTTATTTGTAAGGCAGATTTACAGAGAAAAGGAGAGACCCAGAGAGAAATCTTTCATCTGCTGGTTCACTCCCTAAATGGCTGCAACCACCAGCACTAGCGCCCAGGGACCAAGAACTACATATCTCCCCTGTGGGTGCCAGGGGACCAAGTGTCTGTGCCTTCTTCTGCCATCTCCCAGGATGCACTGGCTTGCCAGGAAGCCAGAGCGGAAGCTGAGTACCTGGGACGTGAAGGGGTATGGGTTCTCAGGCGTTCCGTGCAGCGGCTTCACCCACTTCACCACAGTGGCCCCCTCAGTATGTGTTTCATTTAGGGTATTTTCAGTTCACCCTGCCTTTACAAGCGGGTGGGTCTGATGTGAGTGGAGAATATATATCTTGTTCTAGATCTATGAAGTTTGTGCGAAGTTGAAGCCCTGTGGCTATAGGGATACGGAGGGGTGGTGGGACCCACGTGTTCTTTGACATGTCTGGGACCTTTTACGTGTCACACAGCTCAGCCATTATACTTCGCTGCATTTTACGTTTGCAGGTGTTCAGCAGCGTCACTACAGTCCAAAGTGGAACGTAATCTCCAAAAGAAACTGCAGGGTCAGCCGCCATCACGCTAGCCTGTCCTCCCGGCTCTGGCAGTCACTAGCCCTTCCGTCTCGTGTAAGTGGAGCCGCCCAATAAGCCTTTGTGTCTGGCTTCATTCACTGTCAAGTCCGTCCGCTTTGTAGCTGTGTCCTCGGTGTTTCATTCCTTTCAGGTCTGGATCATCCACTCAGGTGGAGACACTTTAAAGAAATATTTAGTTATTTATATTGGAAAGGCAGATTTACAGAGAGAAGGAAAGAAAGATCTTTCATCTCCTGGTTTATTGTCCAAGTGGCCACAACAGCCAGAGCTGAGCTGATCCAAAGCCAGGAGTCAGGAGTTCTTCCAAGTCTCCCACCTGGGTTACAGGACCCCACAGCCTTGGGTCATCCTCTACTGCTTTCCCAGGCCATCAGCAGGGAGCTGGATGGGAAGTGGAGCAGCCAGGACATGAACCAGTGCCCGTATGGGATCCAAGCACATGCAAGGTGAAGACTTTAACCGCTAGGCTACTGCGCTGGGCCCATATAGAGACACTTAAAAAATCCATTAGCCAATGCGATTGTTTCTGCCTTTGGCCACTATGAATGTTGCTAATATGAAGATTTGTGTACATGTATTTTGTTAACATAGATTTTCTGTGCTCTGGGATATCTAGCTAGGACTGGAATTGCTGGGTCAAATAATGACTTGAGAGTTAATCATTGAAGGAGTTTCCTACTGCGTTCTCTCCATTCCCCCAGCGATCTGTGGGGTGCCAATTTTCCCAGCCCTCTCCAGCACCTGTTGTCTGTCCTTTTTCGACGGTAGCCATCCTGACGGATGTGAAGTGGTATGTTACTAGAGTTTTGATTTGTGGTTCCCAGATGGCTAGAACGCATCAGTTATCTGTAGTTTCAACTCTGATTCTACTTCAGATCGTATCAAAATTAATCTGAGAAGCAACTCTAAGTGAGGGCAGGTGCAGCTGCTGGGGGTGGGGTGGGAGCTGGGTTTGGGCCCATGAAGTCAGCCGGGGCTGGTCCTGGTTGGAGCTGCACGCTGCCTCTTCTTGGATCCCAGCCAGCACTGGAGGCTGTCGCTCCTTCACACTCCCTGGGCAAGGCCCGCTGTCCCAGCAGCTCTGGGACTGCACGATACACGAGAATTCTGCCGAAGTTTCCATACGCGGCCTGCCGGAGAACATCCCCGATGCCCTCCACAAAGAGGTCACTGCTCGTGGGAGACAAGGGCCGAGCCACCTAGAGTCTGTCACTGTCACCTAGAGCCTCCCTGCCCGCTAGAGTCTCCCGCAACTTCTCCAAATCCAGCTCAAGCTCCAGCCCCTCCCGTCTTTGGCCTGGGAGCTTGGGAGCTTGTGGCTTCCAGCTCCCCGATGTCCGTCTTGCTTCTTGTGCTTCTGGCTGGGAAGCAGCACCGTGGTTGTGAGGTCCTGAGGTCATGGAGGGCGTTCTGGAAGGCAGCTCTCATCAGAGGGCTTCTAGCCCTCACCCACTCTCTCACGTGCTCTGCTGTCTGCCCTGGGGCTCTGGCCAGAGCCTGCCTCACACCCTTTGGACCTGCAGCCTCCTGCCTGGGAGTTAAGTAACCCTGTCCTCACTCACAGGGGTGGTGCCACACAGATTCATTGCAGGACACAGGCAGTGGGGGGGACTCTGTTATCCTGTCAGTACTGCTCCCATCTGCAGGGATGGGCACACACCACCAAACACCACATTTTTAGAAAAAAGATTTATTCTATTATTTTAAAAGGCAGACTTAGAGAAGGAAAGATAAAAAGAGATCTTGTATGTGCTGATTCATTCCTTAAATGGCCTCAACAGCCAGGGCTGGGCCAGGCTGAAGCCAGGGGCCTGGAATTCCATCTGGGTCTCCCACGTTGTGGGGGCAGGGGCACAAGCATTTGGGCTGTCCTCCCTGATTCCATTAGCAAGCAGGAAGCCAGGTCAGAAGGACTGGGACCGTATCCAAATGGGATGCCAGCTTTGCACGTGGCAGTTTAACCAACTTCACCACAACTGACTTGAAGCAGAGGAAACTTGATTTGCCAAAGAGGACCGAGATGAAGGACAAGCTGCAGGTGCCACCAGTGGGGGAAGGGTCTTCCTGATGCCATTTTAATGCCTCTTGGCTCTTCTAACAAATAGAAAAGAATGGAGAAAAAAATCAGAAAACATAGACCAATGGGATGGCATGCAGCCACCAGGGCATGGGGCTGTGAATGCCTATGAAAAAGAGATGTGAATTGAGGAATGTGTGGCTGGTGCCCCAGGACCTGAGAGGGGGTCCTTGGGGGAGAACTTGGCAGAATCACAGTCAGATCGACTCAGACTCCTGGTGGGGAAGAGCTGGGGCAGGCCACTGCGGACACTCACCGAGAATGTAACCGGACCTGCCTTGCTTGGAGCGGCTTCTCCGGAAGGGTTGGGATAACACAGGTGCAGAACCATCTATCCACGGGCTAATGGCAATCAAATCCAGAATTCTATTGCCAAACTTTGGTCTTTTTGGTATTTGTCATGTTTAAGATAATCCAGCCCGTTAGGGTCACAGTGGCCTTGCAATGAAAATTTAGTTATCATTGAGGATTTAGACTTGAGATTTGAACTTGAAATCTGAGTCTGTATATTGGAACACTTACGGGACTTGAATCTCCATATGTGAATGTGTCCTGTGTATGAACAGAACTTAAGTACGTGGAAGGGGGCTGGCCTTGTGATACAGTGGGTTAAAGTGCTGCTTGTGACCTACATAGGACACCGGTTCGAGGCCTTGCTGCTCTATTTTCGATCCAGCGCCCTGCTAATCTACCCAGGAATGCAGTGCAAGATGTTCCGAGTGTGTGGGCCCGTTGTACAGGTGGAAGACCCATATGGAATTCCAGGGTCCTGGATCCTGGCTTTGTCCTGAGCTAGCCCTGGCCATTTGGGGAGCGAGCAAAGGATAGATCTCTGTCTTTCACCATCTCTGTAACACACACACACACACTTCATCTTCTGGTTCACTCCCCAAATGGCCACAATGACCAGAGAGAGCTAGGTAGCCCAAGGCTGGAACTTCATCCTGGTCCTCATGTGGGCACAGGTGCCCAAGGCCTTGGGCCATCCTCTGGTGCTTTTCCAGGTCATTGACAGGGAGTTAGGCCAAAAGTAGAGTGGCTAGGACTTGAACTGACACCTATCTGGAATTCTGGTGCTGCAGGTGGAGGCTTAGCCTAATACACCACCATGCCAGCCCCCAATAACTCTGCTTTTTTTTTTTTTTTTTTTTTTTTGTAGAAAAAATGATTTACTCTTTTATTGGAAAGGCAGATTTTACAGAGAGAAGGAAATACTGAATCCTAGGCCCCAATAACTCTGCTTTCTAAATAAATACTTTTTAGAAAAAGATTCAAGTCCTAGGCAGTGGGGCAGGACATGCTACTGGCTCTGTCTTGGCCTCCTCTCTGAAGCAGTTGAGGTGCCATGTCCCAGAGCTTCTGAGCTGTGCCGCTGACCCAGCTGTTGAGTGAGGAGCTGCCTCCAGCACAGAGGGTGGCAGGCTGGGCAGGGAGTCTGGACAGGGGCCACAGGGCTTGGGATCCTTGGGCCACACACCAAGTACCCACACCGCCAATCAATGAGGTCCAGAGGCCCACTCTCCTCTAGTCCAAATTTTCCCTTTGCTGTTGCCTTGGGGATCCAGCTCACCCAAGGGTGCCCCAAGAGGGCAGCCCCTGGGCCAAGGTAATCAGGTGGGGTGGTGATGTGATGGGACCAGCTCAGGCAGGAACTTTGCCACATGCCTTCACAGGAGGGCCATGGGTGCCCCCAACCCCCAGTCCGTGCTGAGTGGGGGCAGGGGTATGAAGAAGGGTTCTGGGCCTCTTTCCTCTGTAAAACCAGGGCTTCCTTTTGGTCTTAGCTTAGCAGCCCTGTGTCTCAATTTCCCCAGCTAGGGGAAACTCGGCAGTGTGAGCCCCTTAGGCAAGCAGAAGGCACCACCAGGCAGCTGCTTTTAGTCCGCCTGAGTTCACCTTCAGCGGTGGGCCCAGGAGCTCATAATTAGCCCGCTGTGCACATGTACACACACACATCTGCGTCCCTGTGTTTTGTGCTCAGCTCCAGCCTGTGGCTCCCAGTAATTTGCCTGATCTCTGGGATAAGGCTTTTGCCTGGACAGGTTCCCACCACAAAGCACTGTGTGCTCAGCGGGCAGGAGCGGCAGTGGCAAAGATTGGGGCTGTTTGGGGATGTTCCCCCACTTCCTACCCATCAGACAGCTCTGTGGAGCTGTTCCACTGTGCCAGAGAACAGCTTGCACCGCCTCCAGTGTCAGGGTACCAAACAGCATGGGGCCAGGTGCATTGAGAGGGGCAGACGTGCAGAACCCAGTACTGGCATCGCACACTTGCCTGGGAGGGCAGAGGAAGAGACAGTCCTGTGAGCCCGCAGCCAGGGTCCTCATCTGTGCTGCTGCCTTCGGCCCAGGGTACACCCTGGAACATGGATGAGTTGGCAGGACCCCCAGCTCAGGGTCCCCGAAGGCCTCCATGGCCACCACGCCCACCTCATGGGGGGACTTGGTGGCAGGACTCTGGTCCTGCAGAGAACCAAGCAGAAGCCTCCTGGGAGGCAGTAGGCTGCCGCCACAATGCCATCATCCACTCCTCCCGGGGCAGCCACAGGCGACGGGGGTTGGAGGGAGTGGGGAAAAGCCGGCAGCCAGGCCCAGAAGCCCTGGGCAGAGCCCATGCAGCTGCCTTTGATCAACCCAGAGCCCCAGCACCCCATGGGCTTTGCTGTGCCCAGGAGCCTTACCCTACGGCAGGTGCAACCTGGATGCCCCTGGCACAACGGGAGCCTGTGTGAAGAGAGTGGTACTGTGGAGAGGCCCAACAAAGCCTCCCCTGCCCCTACCCCCACCCTGGGTGGAGCTGGTCTTCTGAAAACAGGGGGCCCCTCAGCCCTGAAGGTCAGGGGGCCCACCTGGCAGGGCGTCTGCGTCCCTGTGTTTTGTGGGCCGCCAGTCTTGCCAAACAACCACCTAATCCTTTTGGGTTCCCAGAGCCCTCCTGCCCACACAGGTGCTGAGGC